GCCAGTGGTTGTATTTTGTGTTTTGTTTTTAGTATTAAGTTGAATTTAGTTATATTTTATATGTAATAGTGAATGAGCTGAATTCCCTGTCTCTCCCAATATCCCCTGAGCATCATAAATGACCACAAACCCAGGAACTTTACTCAATCTATCAACATTTCTCTTTCCTTCCAAACTAAATCTGTGTTTATGCTCTCTCATGTGTCCTTTTACAATACTCTGATCATGATCTTATTTTTTATGTATCCTAATTTCATCCTGTTTGCTATTTCCAGATTTCTTAGTGATACTTCTTTATCATCATGTTTTGTCTCTTTTTGTTGTTGTTGCATTGATTGTTTCATTTACTTCAAAGACCTGCCAGCCAGCTAAATGCAGTAAAAAAGAAAGAAAGAAATAAGAATGACAGAAAAACTAGTGGTGCTTTGAAGTAATAGTGCTTTTGTTTTAGCTTTGTCACCTTGGGCACAGTATAAAAGGGACTTTAAGAAGACACAAGGAGGGATCCGTTCATGTGTAAAACTGATTCCTGCTGTCAACGCCTCCCTGATAAAAGCAAACATTTACTGCTTTCAAATTTATGTGTGGTAATCCAATAAAGGATAAGACCACATGGGGCCCCTGGAGTGTCTCCCTTCTCGTTCAGATGAAAATTCCCTTTTACACAATGGTCTCTCTGGAACTGCCTGTGCAATTTTCTGTAACCTTGTGCCTTCTCAGCCATTGAGTGTGTGACTGTGAATCAGTAATGACATTATATCCTTTAACCTTTAGCTCTCCTATGGCACACAAACATTCAAACTGAATTTGAACTGGACTTTCCCAATCTGTGCATGCTTCAGTGCTTTGTCCACTGAAGCACAGGGAGATGTGGAATGTTGTTAGTCACAGAGAAGCTTTGAGAAGTATAGAAGAGTCTGGTCTTTGCTGGCTCGTTTGATTGGACTGACAAAATGAGCCTTATGTGAGAGTTTTAGGGCTTAAACTAATGCAATGTTCACTTTTACAGAATGTGCAATGGACTTGTCACACTTTAAATTCACTCTAAATTAACACAGTTATAAAATATATTTTGTCATTACTGAAAAATCTATGTTTTTGTTTATATACATGCAATAAATGAATTATTACATGTATATTATAGGCTATATTCTATAGCCCTTAGCAGACTGAGAAGCACTTTAAAGTCTTAATGTCTTGTTTTGGCCCTCTGCTTTTCCTCACATTTGCTTATGAATGTGAATTACTTTTAATCAAAAATCCAAAAATGAACACAAGAAGAATATTTGCTTTGTCTTACAAAGTCTTTTTCTGTCAAGTTGGCCTTTTGATTTTCAAGTAAGTGCAACTCTTAAGTTGAATATTTAAAAAAAATGCATGCATGCATCTTATCTGTAGAAAAAAAAGCATCAATGCACATTTTATAAATGTGCACAAAGTGCTATGGTCCAAAAAAATATGAAATCATAAACAATGTATATTTCTCACAAAATAACCAATTAAATATATTGGGAAGCATAAACAGTGTACCACTTTAATGTGACAGCTAGCAGCCAATCTGCTTCGCATTAGCAAGAAACAGCTAGCCTGCTTATCAAAAATAATATATACAAAAAAAAATCCTTTAAAGTGCATTTATTTACATAGATTTTATACTAAGAAATTTAAAAAAGGGCATATTTGTTGCCTTACACCTTAAAGAATTGGGATTCTTTTCCACCAGCAGTGTTTGGAAGCTCGGCTAGATGCACTCCTGTTAGTCTTTTTAGCTTGGTTGCTGGCTGTAGTTTCCTCTGTTGCAAACACAACAAAAGAAGTTCTGTTGACTTCATTTGATTCTTTGCAAGAAAGCAAACATTTCCCAAAATGTTTCTCTGCTGCTTCAACCAAAAACTGCAGCTGTGGTCGAGTTTAAATGTGTCTCCAACGTGGTAAGTTTTCATATAAGTTCACTCCTGCATCATTGCTCCAACAAGCTTATTTGGATATGTACACTTTCCTGCAATAATCTCCACACATACTGTACGGCTTGCATCAGGATGTCAGTAAATTGTTATGTAGGGGATGTTGGAGCAATTTGTGTATATGTTACACTTATTTTCCACATGATTTCAGACAGAAGCATTTGATACTAAATATGTACACATTCAATTTCTGCTGCAAACACTGATTTTGTCAAAATGTGATAGAATCAAGCTATTCTTGACAACCAGACAAAGTTACCTATTAGTTCTGAGTTCAAATGTCAGACTCATTGACCCTGATTTAATTTCATTAAGTTGAAGCAGATCAAAAGTTGTCACATTTTAGATTGCAGCAAGACGTCCTACAAACAACCTTCTGTTTAAACTGCCAGTGGACAACTGTGCCATGTTTGCTAAATGTTAATTTATGTATCTCTCATGCCGTGTGCATACGCTCGTCTCAAAGATACTATTTTTAGTACACGTAGCTCGGCTTTGTAAGGGAGAGAGGGCCTTCATGGGGGATGGGAACAATACCCCATTAGCTATTTAGTATCTGGATCTACAGGAACAAGGTGCCGTAAATGCTTCAAGAAGTCAACTGTCTGTCTCAGCAGTTGTCCTTAGCCTCCTACTTGTTCCCCTTCGCTTTGCTAACAGCTCAGCAGCAGCAGCAGCCAGTAGTAAGATTATGACGTCTCCTCTCTGCTCCTCCCCTCCGGGGCTTCATTGTTGCCATGGTTGTCCCGCCCTGAAGGAGGGGGAGGGGTGGTGTGCAGGAGGCCTCATGCTTACTACTCAAGGCAGAGCAAAGGGCACCTTGCTCTAAGATGACACCCTCAGCTTCTCTTGTTGTCCTTTAGAAATGGACCTGGCACAATTTCATAATCAGTGTGGTCAGCAGTGTAGATGTTCAAGTTCTCAGGTGGTGGAAATGTTAAACGTCAAAAGTTTATTATTGTTCGACAGCCAGGGCCTTCATTTGTAGAACTATGTGCATGTCACAATCAGCTATGAAAATAAATATCTTTAATTAGCCATCCACACCTCCACCGTAAACTACAGGAGGTGAGCTTTGCTGCATCGCCTGGTTAAAGAACAGATTTTCACTGCTCCCCCCCCCCCCCGCCTATACATATAGCCTATAAAACTAATAAATCTCACATGCACACTGCATAGTTTAGCCCCAGGAGGGCGTTTAATTTCATATATATTAGGTGTTTCTCTTACTTTGATAATTTAGCGCAGGTGTTAACTTGAGCGAGTCTGGAAACAAGTAAACTTGTAGGTGTTAAAATATTTACAGTATAAAAAAATTATGTTGAATTTCCACTAATGTTCAGGGTTTCTTTCGATTTGTTTTTTTTTTTTAGAAATGTAATGCACTTTGCACATTATTTTATAAGTTTATGTGACTGAGCTATAAAATGTGAATATTTAGAGGCTAGACATAGTTTAATAAATGGTTAACACTATAAAATACCAGTCTCTAGTACTTATTTCTTTGTGGTTAGGTTAGTTTTTAATAATAAAGTTTGCTCTATTGGTTAGTGAGATACACAAGAATGCACTCAGTAGGTATAAAGGACCTCAACACTGATGGCTTCTTGAGAGTTTTGGGTATGAGCTTTTTTAAAACAAATCCCATTTTCTTGATTCAAATATTAACCGTACTGCAGATTCAAATGCATATCAGTCAAAACACTCACTCACATTTTCCTAGTGAAGAATTAACTTGATCACTACATGTTTACCCCTAAAGATAAATGGCAATCCAATGGATCCACTTTTTATGCTTTTATTTGTTGTGTGAACTGCACTTCATAGACTCCCTCCCACACGGATCATTTAAAAACAGCACACAGCCTGCGGCGAACACAGTACAGCATTGGAGGAAGAATTAAAGCAGATTTGTGTTGTAGTTCTGGGATAAGGTTTGACTGTCTCTGTCTTCCAGAACCAAAGATCAATGCCTCCGATCAGATCATTCTGTCAATGGACCCACCTATCAAACCAATTATCCTGCAGTGTAACCTGGTAGCTGCCCACACACCACACAAGGAAAGCTTCTGGATGAAGAATGGACAAGAGATCCCTAACACAAGGACAGATCAGAGGACCACGGTATACAGGTGACACCCCCCCCAAAAATAAATAAATAATTTAAGCTGCCACTTCTACTTCTCAGAGCAAATCATCCACAGCTAATGTAAACCTCCCACATATAAAAATGTCAGTGTGGTGCTCATTTATCTTAGTGAGATCTCAAGTCATTTTTGGGGATCATGAACTTGCCTAAACGAAGACTTTGTGTGCTGATAAGCTCTGAGCTGGAAATGAGAAAGCTATGCACAGCTGCATGCATGGTAACTCCGGTTTGTTTTTTTCTGCTTGGCTGACTGATGGTAGGTACTTTGTTGTAAGTGGGACACAAAGTGTACACTGCGGTGTAGCAGACATTTCCTGTTCTACTCTAAGGAATCGATTTCTTATTGTTTTTTCTTTGGTTGCAACAGATTTGGCACAAAACCGCTAACAAAACTAATTTGTGTGAGAATGTTTCTTTAAGAAGTTGCTAAGTTTCCAATTATTATTTTTAATTACGGATTGTTCATTACTGTGGTCAATAAACAGTGGTGGGGAGTGGTGGCGTAGAGGTAGAGAATGTAGGCATGTGATCAGAAGATCGCCAGGTTCAACCCCCGGTTCTGACATCAACAAAATGTGGGTGGGATAGGTGAAGTACCCACACTTGCCTCCACCCTCATTTGCCTCTGTGTCCTTGAGCAAGGCCCTTAACCCCCACCATCTGCTCCTCCATGCGCCCTAGATAGCAGCTCTCTGCTCCACACAGAGGGCTGTGGTAGCTCGTGATCTGTGGTTGCGTCAGGAAGGGCATCCAGCGTAAAAATAATAGCCAAGTTTTTGTGTGACAGTCCGCTGTGGTGACCCCTGAGGAAGGGAGCAGCCGAAAGAAAAAACAACAAATGATTTTTAATTACCGATTCTACCTCAAGTGCAGGAGTTCAAGTATCTCAGGTTTTGTTCACTAGTGAGGGAAGAATGGAGCGTGAGATTGACAGATAGATTGGTGCAGCATTGGCTGTATTGTGGACTCTCTACCAGTCCGTTGTGGTGAAGAGGAAGTTGAGCTGTAAAGCAAAGCTCTCGATTTACCGGTCAGTCTACGTTCCTACCTTCACCTATGCTCACAAGCTCTGGGTAGTGACCGAAAGAATGAGCTCGTGGATACAGACGGTTGAAATGAGTTTCCTCCACAGGGTAAATGGTAGAGTAGCACTCAGGTCCAAATAATCCAAACCAACCTGGTCCCAGCCCATAGCCATCATCTCCAAACCCCACCCGATCCGATGAATTAACAGTAATTACAGGTCCGAACCCGGAAACCCCCCCGACTTTTTTCAGTTAAGCTTTGACTGCTTATACTACCAACTATTATTAACGGTGGCAGATGCGCGCGAGTACAGTGGCGCAACTGGTAGAGCTGCTGCCTCTCAGCAAGCAGATCTCCAGTTCAAATCCCGGTCCGGGGGCCTTTCTGGGTGGAGTTTGCATGTTCTCTCCGTGCATGCGTGGGTTTTCTCCGGGTACTCCGGTTTCCTCCCACAGACCAAAAACATGCATGTTAGGCTGATTGGTAACTCTAAAATTGTCCCTAGGTGTGAGTGAGTGAATGTTTGTTTGTCTCGTTTGTCTCTATGTGGCCCTGTGATGGACTTGCGACCTGTCCAGGGTGTACCCATGGACATGGGCACCGGCGACCCCTGTGACCCAAAATGGAAGAAGCGGGTAAAAGATAATGGATGGATGGATGTGCGCGGCTGAGGGGGCAGAAGATCAGAGCTGAAGAGCTATCAAAGTGCATTAAAAGCTTCCCCTGTTTCTGCCTGCATCCTGCTCTGACATGTCGGATATTTTGTGATCTCACCTGTTTGGCTCTCAGCTGTGCGTGTCCGCTGAGTGCAGTAGCTGAATGATCGTCCATTTGGGCTGATGGATTGCCGGCAGTAGTCCATCTGAAGCTTAACTGAACTTTTTACCTCTTTCAACCGGCTGGTCAGCACGCGGTCAAATGGCTACATGCAGCAGGTGCAGTATGGCAAGCCATGTTTTCATATATTTGATTGTCGGCCGCACGCGTTCCTGATGCAATAAAAAGCCCGACACCAACCTGGCCCACACATTAAGCACATTATTATGGCCCAGTCCGGTCCGAATCCGGGTCGGGCGGGGCTGGGCTCCGGGTTCAGGTTAGACATGACAGCTCTAGTAGCTGAACTCTCCTTTAGAGATATGGTGAGAAGTTCAGTCATTCAGGAGCGACTTGGAGTAGAACCGCTGCTCCACATCGAGAGGAGACAGTTGAGGTGGTTCGGGCATCTAATAATAATGCTCCCCGGGCACCTCCCTAGGGAGGTGCTTCGGGTATGTCCAACTGGGAGGAGACCCAGGACACACTTGAGAGACTATGTCTCTTGGTTGGCCTGGGAACGTCTTGGAATCCTCCCAGAAGAGCTGGAAGAGGTGGCTGTGGAAAGAGATGTCTGGACCTCCCTGCTCAAGCTGCTGCCCCTGCGACCCAACTTCGGAACAAGCGGAAGAATGGATGGATGGGTGGATGGATAATCATAAAAAATCTTTTGCACAATTGATGGAAACAATTCTTTTGTGCTTTACAGTTTAGTGTACCTGTATTACTATCCCTAATCTTCATCTATACGTGTCCATCTATTCTGAAATTAAAATACAATCTTCCTCCTCGGTATGCCATAAGTTAAAGCTGTCACAAACTAAACTCATTGCAGCGTAAAGCTAAAGTCACCTCCATGAACATAACACAGACCCTGCCTAGCCATGAGTTAAGACCAAATGGTCACTTCCTTGTTCCTTGTCACACTACATCAGTGAAACACCGAACATTACAGCCAAAATGCCTGTAGCACCCTTCCCTGGAAAATCCACGGCTGCCGTTTTGTAATAATAGAGCAAAACAAGATTTTTTTTCTCTCTCATGGCCTTGTAGGTCCTTGAGGCTTTCACTGCTTTAGTCAAATCTAATTACTTGCCTGAAAAAATTTATAATTAGATGTCTTAATATACTGGACTATATGCAGAGTAAGTGACTGGTAAATGAAAGTGTCGCAATAATTTTGTGTTTTGCTATTTCCCCCCTCACAGAATTCCTAAACCACGAGCAGATGATTCTGGGGAATACTTGTGCGTTTACACTTTTGACAAGGCACCAAATGCAAATGCAACAACTGAAGTGAAAGGTAAATTGTTTTTTTTTTCTGCGACGTGATATGTGTACCTTTTCTATCTGAATAACACAATCAATTGCATCAAAAAGTGTCAGAGAATTGGATTTTGTCCCAGTGAATTGAAATGCAGAGAAAAACTTAATCTTAAACTCCTGAGCATGCATCAGGATGTTAATCTTGAACTGATTTCAACACACGTAGACAGAGGAAAATGTCAGAGGAGCGTGGACCACCTGAAGCTGTGTGAGGAGTCATTGTTGACAGAGATGAATCCATCCAGTGCAGGAGTGATGACGGGGAGATTTCCCAAGGCTGTTGTCACTTTTGGCTTCACTGAGATGACAATTTAGTAAAATGGACAGGCACCGCACATGGTCTCCAAAACATGCAAATCACAAGGTGCACAAGGAAATGTAATGCTCTTAAATGAAGCTCTTAACACAATCATAGGCCCATACAGCAGTATGCAGAGAGGCTGTGGATATACATGTAATATGCCCCTTTAATTATTTGTGTATGTATTTAAGAATTAGGGCTGACGTTGTAGCATTTTGTCTGGGCAGTCACTGCACAAAATATTTGGTTGAAATAAGGAGTCATCTGTGAAAAAGGGAAGGCAAACCCTTTTCCCAAAAAAAAAAAAAAAAAAAAAAACTACCTGTGTTTGAGCCATTTCACTGTGGCATGGTCATGGTACACACTGAGCTCTCCCCTCTGCCTCTTACTTCACAACTGGCCTGAAGCAATGTCTGATTGCGTAACATGCACGATGAGCATGTGTGCTTTGATTTCACCGGGTTGTGAGATGCTGGCACTAATCGCTAGGGATGTGCAATATGGCATAAAATTCATATCACAATATGTATTGTGATGGGTGGCAGTAACGATATATATCATGATATGTTTTTGGCATAAAACTTGCTATAGGAATTTAAAAAAGCATAGGTTGTCCTTTTGCCAGCATTTATTTTGAAAACCGCTATACCACAAAATAATCACAATTAAGAAAATTCCACTACTAGGTCCAGAGTTTTTAAATAATTAACAAATCAAGTATTAGGCTTTTTTCTTGTAGTGCAAAACAGTGCAAAATATATAAAATGTAGTTTTAGCCAAATGTTTTAAACAAAAGAATATGTTGTTAACTCTTAACAGTTTCCAGTCTTCTCACTTAAGAAATGAACAGCAACAGAGCAGCATTTTACACTAAAAACACAACCCTCCAACCCTGTAGTGGGCGTCTCCTTCCACTTTAAGAAGAGCTGACACAAAATGGCGACCAACAAAGTCTATGCTCAATAATCCAGGTATAAAATCCAACAATTTTCAGTCAGGTCATCTGGACAGCGTCTTTATTTTGTGCTGAAACATTTCACCTTCCATCCAGAAGGCTTCATCAGTCAAGGAAACGCGCAACACAAAACTGATTCTTCCCCCAACAGCTTACTCCAAATCGGAACAAACCAGTTATGATGGTGATAAGACGGTCTTTTTAGCACGCCCTCTGGTGCCGGCCCTCTCCCTTGTCGACAGTCGTGTCAAACTGGTTCAAAACCAACAAAGTCCATGCTCAGTAATCCAGGTATACAATCCAACGATTTTCAGTCAGGTCATATGGACTGTTTCTTTTTTTTGTGCTAAAATGGCGACCAGTTTCCTCTGTGGCTTTGACCAGAGGGACTCCCGGAAGTACACTACAGATCATGCTTCTGTAACAGTTAGGGGAATGACAGGTCTTGCAGTAAAATCACACAACACAGCATTCTTTTCACAGATCAGAGAGCAGGTTTAACCCTTTTTTTAGCTCAAATGCACTCTCTGAAGCTGACCAAGGAACGTTCAATGAAAGAAAAAACCTTTCAACGGAACACGGCGTTTTGTGCTTGCATCCAAATACGAGTACGAGCCGAAGTTAGCTTGTAGCTTTGCTACCTAGCTCTCAAAGAAAGGACTTCTAACACCACTTATGCACAGTTTTCAACTCAGAAAAGTAACAATTAAATCTGACAACTCTGATTTTACAACAGACACAGCATTACTGCGGTTAGCCGGCAGAATACAGATCTCTATCATAGGCTAAATGTCTATTGTTTCTACCATGTACCGTATATATTGTGCATTCCTACGTAGTCGCTATGCAAACCAAAGTGTTCTAGCCTTGACAAGGCTGCAGAAAGTTTGACTCTTGAGGGAAAAGTCAATCAAAATAAATATTACAGTGTCAGGGTTTGAAGTGATGAGAAGCCAAATTTTTCTGGATCTTAATTTTTTTTTTTTTTCTGTCCTGAGATTTACCGGTAGTCATTTGTTTGAGAGGTGTTTGGAGATCATCTGTGACCCAGGTAGCAGGCCCACTGTAAAGCAAGCCAGCTTTGCAGAGCGCTGCTGGCAGCAGTTCACTGAGCTCCCTCGCCTACAGTGTCCTTGGCACACTCATCCTTGCAGGACTCAGCTCACAGGCAACAGATGGAGGCTTCTGTGATGTTGTAGGATTACGGCTCTGAATACGGTCCCAGCCATCTCTGTGGGTTTTATTGTCTACATTAATACATATATATATACTACAGATTTGTATTTGATAACTAATTTCTGTCAAGTTTTATAGGGTATGCCATAAATTTTAGTTTTCCTAAAAACATTATTGCACAAAATAATGCATTTACAAAAATCAAAATAGCATATTAGCAGCTTACTAAAATCTATGTCCATTCCCTGTCTGACCCCGCTTCCTCTCACTTTCATGTCACTATACTCCTGTGTGGCACATAGAGATTAATAATCAGAGTGAGAAGTGTGAAATGGAGGTTTCTGCCTGTTTTAGCACCACTCAGATGGCTGTCTGTGTGCTGTCACTCACTGACAGACTACAGCCAGGATAAGGCCCAAATGAGCTTTGCCACTCCCTCTGCTCAGGAAGCACGTGCACACCATAATTAGAGTGGAATGATCTCACCGAAGAGTGCCGAGCTCGCCTGCTCTGTTATCCACGCATAGCTGAAAACTGCTCAAAAAATGAGGATTAGTGCAGAAAAGGCTCTTTTAGGGGGCTGCATGGAGCTGAACAGAGATTGTGTTTCACCTATGGGAAAAATTATTCATTTGATGCATCAGTATGATTTTTTTCTCTGTTTTTCGACACATGTCTGAATTATATAATCTCTGCTGCGTTTTCAAGTTCAGGTTAATATTCCTTGGGTTTAAATTTCAATGGAGGAAAATACTCTGAATGGGAACATCTGGAGGCTTTCATATCATACTGACACCCTCTGCCCTCCTCTGAGCTCATTATGAATTGTACTGAAATCTGTGTTTTTTATTCTCATTCACTGAAATTACCCATAGCAAGAGTTGAGTTGGCAATGTACCTTACACACTCATGAAACAACACCTGCAGTTTCAAAAGTGGATGCAGAAATCTGCCCTGTCGGATGGATTTCAAAGTCAGAAAATTATATTTGGTTTACTTCTATAAGCTAATGTGTTGATAGAAAATACAACTAATACTCCTGACCTTAAAAACAAACAAAACCCAATAAAAAAATAATAAAAGAAAAATTAACATTTGCAAATTTTTGAAAGAGTTACGTTTTCTATTTAAAAAGTATGCATTCAAAATAAACTAGCAATTACACTGGAGATGCTCACTTATACAGTAAACAGTTATATTAATGTTTTCTTTAAAAATATAGTTGAAAATTCAGCACTTAGTTTTGAAGATCTTTTAATTCTTTGCATTCAAGCAGCCGGACCTCCTTGTAATCCATTTAAAGTGGTCTTGATCGATCGTTCCTTAGGCTTTGGAAGGTCATTGGAAGTTTTTATTTGTATATTAGCTGCAATTTCACACATTTTCAGGCTAGGTCTTGTACCTGACCATAACAGTGTGTAGTCATGTGCGGTATGTGCTTAAAAATAAGTCAAAGGGACAAGTCTGAAAGCTAAACAGAGGCTGTGATGTCTTGGTGAACAATATTGTACTGCATTCCTAATATTTTCACTGTGCCCTTTGTCAGCACTACATTGTCATCATTAGGGATGTTGCATAGCCAGTGGCAACTGAGGAAGGAAACAGTTTAAACTTCCTCTTCCAACTCTGTTTTGTGTCTTCTTCAATCTGATGGGAATTTGAGGTCTCACTGGAAGCATGTGGTGGGATTTGAAAAGCTCAATCAGCTTCTTCTACGTGTAAATAAATATTTATGTTGAGTTGCTTATTTAGCACAACAAAGGTACTAGAAAAATTGCTTTAGCCGTACAACATCTGAATCGTTGTGGAAGATTCTTTTAGAAAATGTGCATTTTAAGAGGGATAAAAATGAGATTTTACATCACCAATTTGTTGTTCAGTTCCAGAACATTATGAGTAGTCAAAACAATGTAAACTTTCCTTAACCTGTCTGACCCCTGCTAGGTCAGATAACACTGGGTTTGAGTCATCTGTTTTCCTTTTCTAGCAAAACCTGACATCACTGGTCACAAGCGAAGTGAAAATAAAAACGAAGGGGAAAATGCAATGCTTTACTGCAAGTCTGTTGGCTACCCACATCCAACCTGGACATGGCGAAAAGTGGACGGAACGTCTTACAAGGTATACTGACCTACACTATTGGCAATATTCATATAAATTATAAACATTGGAAAATAACAAGTTCAAGAGAAAGACAGATTAGGCAGATGCTTTCTTTTACTACTAACTTCGAGATATGTTCACTGTGTTTCAGGGTATTGACAACTCCTCTGGACGCTTCTTCATCACGAAAAGGGACAACTACACAGAGCTGAACATACTAAACCTGGATATAAACACAGATCCTGGAACGTATGAATGCAATGCTACCAACGCAATTGGAAACACCTCAGAGACAACCATACTACGAGTGCGCAGCCATCTTGCACCACTTTGGCCTTTCCTGGGAGTGCTCGCAGAAATTATTATTCTTGTAGTGATCATCGTTGTGTATGAGAAACGCAAGAGGCCAGACGACATTATTGATGGTAAGAACACTGTTGTTGTTGATTAGAGAAACTCAAATGTTTTGTTTTTCTTTTCTCAAGTAAATTTTTTGTCCTTTAAAGAACCCCCTATTCCTGAGTGAGTTATATGAATAAGATTTCATTCATCGCTTTTTGTACCACATGGATGCTTAGAAATCCAAGTAAACTTTGAACCACAATACTGTTTATTCCTGTCTGAGGGGATCACGGGTGGCCATTTGACTATTAAAGGACTGTCTCTTTGCTTTTGACAGGTGTAACAAAAGGATAATAGAAAAAGTATGGCTGAATATTACCCAGATAATAAATGCATGCTAATATGACCTTTGTAGAAGTATATTGGTTAAGAGGGGTCACACCTCCCCTTTGTAGAAGTTAGCTCTTTCTGTACTGGGCTGCCATTAGTGATAGATCTCATTTTTTATATGTGAAATCAGAACTAGTGTTTTATTAACATGTACAGTAGTCCCTCGTTTATTGCGGTGGTTATGTTCCAGACCCTCGCAATAAGGGAAAATCTGCGAAGTAGCAACGTTATATTTTAGTATTTATATATATTTTAAGGCTTTAGAAACCCTTCCCACACTGTTGCAGTGTTCTAAACTCTTTAACCTACGTCATTTTAACAACATACGTATATGTAGCTACTAAATTTTACTCACCAGCTCAGCACATCAGCAGTTCGGTTCCACTCCGACTTGGTTCTGTTTCGGTGGACCTCCCCTGCTGGTTCTGGTCAGCTCTCTGGCTCAGGGTAGTGGAGGTGGGCTCCAGTGCCAGACCTATGGCGGCACGTCCCCTGCTCGGAAGTCCTCGTAGGCTGGCTAGCAGCTCTCAGATTCAACGATGGGTGGTCTGGGGGTCAGGTTCTGCTCCAGTTCTGGACTGGTTTTGTGCAGCCCTTTAGTGCCGAAGCACATTTGGTTGGGGGTAGCGGACCTTAGAGTGGTTGACGCGGGACCAATGGTCCAATTGAGCGGTCCGATACAGATGAAAAAAGTCTTGGTGGGCTTCAGAGGGAGCTCCAGACCTATGGCGGCACATCCCCCACTTGGAAGTCCTTGTGGGCCGGCTAGCAGCTCTTAGATTCGCCAATGGGTCTGGAGGTCTGGTTCTGGTCCAATTTGCAGTGGGTTCTATGCAGCTTTCTGCATCCACTAGGCATCAAAGTCATTGTAAAGGGCCAAATTTTTCAGATCAGATCAAAACTTTCCCTCTATGTATTTCAGCAGAAAGCAATGGGGCTTCTGGGCGGGGTACTGTTTGCTTCTGAGAAATGTAGTCCTTATGATCAGCGATACAATATAGGCTTGAGAGAAAACTACAAAATGGTGGCACCTCTCCAAAGTATTTTATTTTTTTCATAAACTTTTTACTGTAGAGTATCCCGTATTGTCCCAATCATGCGAGTAATATTAAAGTTGACAATCGTGTGTCATGTACAACTTTTTTCCTCGTGTACAACCTTACTTTGAAAAACAGCAAAAGAGCGAGTTCACGTAAGTAAAACCACGAAGTAGCGAAGGACTACTGTACAGTCATGGCCTGTACAAATGCTTATAGAACATTTTCTACCCCAAAGGTTACTTAATGAGTTACTATTGTTTTCCCTTGCACTTCTTTCCAACTGGAACAATAATCTAAACGGGTGGTAAGTGAGAGATCCTGCATGGTCATGGAGATTTGTTGTCGATTTGTATGCCTTAATAATCCCAGAGCCTATCTAAAATACCGATGAGCTTTAATGAGATATTGCTCAAATATTGAAGTTGTAAAATAAAAAAAATATTGAAAAAATATAATTGTAATTTTTTTCATAAATAGAATAAGTCCTGTCAAGATTTTAACCAACAATATACTCCAGGCCTCTCTTGTAAATGAGTCCTCGTGGCTCATTGGGACTAACCTGTTTAAATAAAGGTTGAATTAATCTGATTAGAGATATTTAATCATGTTTAAATTATACATAGTATAAAACATATATGTATGATATATGTAAATCAGACTATCAAAGTTAAAACTGCAGACCTTCACATACCCAAGTTACTGAAATATTTTATCCAAATAACAGAAAGAAGTCTAGGATTTACCTTTAAAACAAGTCAACAGCAAGTAATGAGCATTCTTAAATAATTTGTTGAGTTTCGATATGATCGTATCAAAACCACATGAATGAAATAGTTTTGCTCACATGACTTTTGGTCAATACAAATTTCTAAAAGCACCTAAAGCCCCTGTGAATTACTAGAGCACAATGTAGTTGTGAATTAAATAATATACAGCTGAACATTGGTGTTCTCCACAATATTCTTGTGATCTACTTACAAGAAACATAAATAGAGTTCATCTGTTCTATAATTCTGTCTCAACAAACTGCATTTACAGGACAGAAAGCACTACTGACGCCATGACTTAAAGCTGCGTGGTAGTCAGCTGATTTGAATATTACTCAATTAATCCTCAAAATGAAATGGTTGCTGCAATAAAAACAATAAGCATATGAACTATTTATGTTGTTAATGTGTCATGCTGAGGGTTTTATTGTCTTTCTTCTATAAAGCTGTGCCAGTTTATACCTGTTTCTGACACACATAATGCAGTGTTCTTCTTGGTATTGTATAGCACTCTAATATTTCATAAAACACCAGATATTATGAGTATATACTGTATATTCTATTTCCTATCTAAAGACTAAATAGTTTTGCTCCGTATTGCTTAGTGTCAAACCACATAAATCTCCTGCCAGATGAGATCTAGATTTAAGCATACTCTAAAAATTAAACCAAAACCCTTCAAAAGAAAAAGAGAAGTAACGTTACGTTTGAGGGACAGTTAAAGACCATCAAAGCCTATAACAAATTTATCTGCTTAAAATATGACTATCCCAAGAATTGGCCTCTCTGCTTTGACAAGTGTACAAAAAAGATATGGTCACATGAGTTTTCTTAAATAGACTCACTGAATAACACGTTTCCCTGTCACGTTTAAAAGTATTTACTTTTTTAGTTCAATGTAGTTGAGATGTGTTAGGATAATTGTCAGCTGACAGACTAAATGAGCTTAAATGGCATCAGCTCTGTAGACAACCTGGAGTCCAAACTACATGAGACAGTTTCACATTGAAAATCAGGACTGAATATCTATAAAGGGCTAAAAAGTAATGGCACTAACTCCAAATGTGGAGTAAATTGCAGAATAAAACTGAAACAAACTAGAATACAGAACAAAAGAAAAGAAACGCACAGTAAAGACGTGTTTTCTTGTATTTTGGCAGTGTTGAAACAAGACAGCATTCAGTTTGAACTCCACTCATGTACATTTGTAGTTTAATTTGTGAATTCAGCATGGTCCCCAGATAAAATACAAAGTGATAAAAGCCAAAGCCACAAGGAGCTGCGGTAGCTCGGTGGTCAGAGCTGTTGTCTTGTAATCCTGGGGCTGTGGGTTTGAGCCCAGGTTTTGTCAAATATTTTATGCAGGTTCACGGCCAGTGTGGCGACCCCTGAAAAAAGGAGCAGCTGAAAGAAAAGCAACAGCTAAACCTCTAATGCCAACCCCTGCAGCTTTACAGCACCTTATAAAATAAAAATACAGCGTTGAACTATGTTCACCTCCTATTCAGTCAGTCCAAGTAAAAGTACATTTAATAAAACGTGAAAAGAATAAGCAGAAAAAACTTATCTTTAATGTTTTAAACTGTCTTTCAAACCTGATGTCCCTTCACTGTTTTGTTTTGGTTCAAATTGCGCCATACACAAAGAAATGTAACTAAATATATTTGTCAAATTACTTTGTACTACTTCTACAAAACATTGATGACTAAGGTTTATATGCAATGTACAAGATGGAATGAATATAGTTTCTACTTAGATCTTTAAGGCATGCAGTGTTTGTGATTCACAATATTTTAAAATCAAAGATTTTTAAATAACAAAATGACAAAAATATAGTAATGTACCGTATTTTTCGGACTATAAGGTGCACTTAAAATCCTTTAATTTTTCTCAAAAATCGACAGTGAGCCTTATAATCAAGTGCGCCTTATGTATCAATTCTGATTGTGCCTGCTGACCTCGAACCGATTTTATGTAGTTATTGTGAATGAGTTGAATAAAGTTTGCCTTTTCTGACTGTTTTGTTTCGCTTAATGTGCCTTATAATCCGGTGCGCCATATAGTCTGAAAAATACAGTAATCTTAAAATGCACATAAGCACCAGCAGAATCTGCATAAGCTCTTCCCTTGGTCTCTGGTTGGGTTTCATCAATACCCCTTCAAAAAAAAAAAAAAAAAAAAAAGAAGCGATTAAGGTAGATTATATTTGCCATGTTTATGTCATTCAAATCAGGATTGAGGACTCTGCCGCTCTCATCGCACAGCCTCTCTGAAATCTCGTTTTAGCATCCCCCCATTCCCTGAGGTTTTGGCCCTGCCTGTGTGTGTTATCATTTCTGGTCTCTTGATGGCTTAACTGTGTTGGAACACTTAAACGCCACAGCCAAACGCTTTGACGCAGAGGGCTGAAATTTTAATTGTGTTTCAAAAGCAGCTGCTAAAATTACACATTTTGCTGTGTGATGACAGTAAATAACACCAAATGTTCTGTAAAACAACAAATGTAACAGTGTTTTTAATTGGAATTGAAAAAAGGAATCATTGATTAAACAGATCATGTTAAACAATCTCACACAGTAAAAAACAGTTTTGTTATTGTGCTTGCAAAGCCACATTAGTAAATTGTATATGAGTTGTGAAGACTGCTATGCTGACAGATGCACCTCTTTGTCACTAACCCCCCCCCCCCTTTTTGTTTAACATTATAAGTGATATAATCTGTTTCACTTTAATGCCATGGAATGCTGCTAATGCTGCTTATCTAGGCCTGTCACGATAACAAATTTTGCTGGGCGATTAATTGTCTCAGAAATAATTGCGGTAAACGATAACATTGTTTGAAATTTGACAATAATTAGCCATTATTGTCAAATTTAAGAAGAAATGTTGGTAAATTTGTTTTGTGTGTAGTACCTGTTTTGACCACCGGACAGCAGTATAAGACCATTTGAACCGAAGGATGGATAGTGAGGGAGCGAGCAGCGTGTCTCTTTAAGAAAAATGGGAGGGAGGCCCCTTGACGTGACATGGGCCATCTGCCTTCATTTTTTTTCCAGTTCTCAAAATGGCGGACGCTCGGTGTGGTTTGAGCTCTTTAGCATAGCATTTTTCATACAAAGCTTTTAATATAAAAAATTAGTAAACAAGTTCTCAGCTTCTTTTTGCAGAGAAAAACTACTTTTTATACGAAGGCACCGGTTTCAACTGAATTTTGGAGCTTTGACAAGACTTTTTCCCCCCCCGAGATTGGCCAGTTAGCTTAGCTCGTAGCTTAGCTGCTTTTAACAATCCAAAAACACAATTTCAGACGGTTAAAACAGATTTTAAAGAAAAAGGGAGGGGTCAGTGAAGAGCACCGGAATTGATCCTTTTGTCAGTAGAAAGAGACAGACATGAAGAAACGATAAAGCCAATAAATGAAAATGAGGTTGATAATTTTCATGTATCATGCGATTAATTGATTTATTGTTTATCGTGACAGGCCTATGCTTATCCCTGACTAATAACTGCATGGACATATATCACTGAGACTGCTTACTCACTGTACCTCTTGAAACATTATACTTGTTGCAAACATTAACAATCCTTCAGTCCAAAGCTGGGACGGTTTTGAAACTTTTTACAAATGTAACCATTTCCTGTGGTCTTTCAGCATTTTTAACTGCTAAATTAAAATCCTGTCATCCATTGTTCTTTCCTATAGCTATTAAATATCACAATGTTGTCATGTTATGGCAACTATTGCTTTTGGTGTTTTTTAATTTTAAAGAAAAGTACAATGAGGCAGCTTTGTAAACATACTTTAAGTGCCAAGACTGTCTTTATTTACCACCACCATCCAAGTTTCTTAAGATGTCATTTCAAACTGTAATTAAAAAGATGGCTTTAAGTGAGCCATCTGTGACCCTCCTACACAGATTTTCTTTCCCTAAAATAAACAAGAACCCAATGAGATTCAAATGGCATGTGAGGTTAACTTTGTTTTATTAGCAGATTGTGTCTGCAGTTTTGTTTTTTTTAAGAATATGATTTCAATCAAAAAAATCACACTTGCCTGGCCTGAAAAGGTGAAAAAAAAAAAAATCATGTTATGGACAGTCGATGTGCTGAAACAAGCAGAATTTTCATGTTACATTTTCTGACAGCTGACCTCTATGTGTTATTTTTTGTCTTTTCTTTCCATGTCAAAGATGATGAACCAGTTGGCCCAATGTAAGCAGGATACATGTATTGTGCAAATATTTTTTTTAACCACAAAAATATTGATTTGTGGTAATTATCTGGTATTAAACCATCATATCATTTGTCTCTCCTAGGAAGACGAATTCAACAAACAACCACAAGGACAAGAACATTCGCCAGAGGAATACAAAATAAGCAATTTACTCAAGTAAGATATGTTGTAGGGGATTGAGGGGGGCTAAAAATAGAAGTTACTGTGAGGATAAAATCATAGTCATGCCTTCTTTTAATTTTCTTTCCACAGATGAGATGGCTAAACTGAATTTTTTTGACAACTTGAAAGTATCAGAGGTTGTTTGAACTCCAGGCTGTTTTGGAAAAATGCATATCTTATCTCATTCTTTGAGAAACAATATCAGCATAACACTGGCAACAATAAGAACATACAGTCATGGCTGTCTTAAGCATGCCTTATTCAGTCTTTGGTGGCGATTCCAGGATGGTGAATAATGATAAAACCACCACAAAGGTGTACACATCTCCAATGTGTTGTTGATGTCTCTTTTATTCATTTTAACATGGCCTCGGATGAGGCGATCCCTTTTGTATTACATATCATGTACAATGCATGCAAAATAATTACGCAATAGGATACTCAGAATAGACATTTTCTGTTGTTATCCCTCGTGTGGCTTTTTTCTTTTTTTTTGCATTCAAATTACCTGTTTTTT